GTTCTTGCGTTATAGGCTGTATAAAATCGAAGTGGAAAGTCTGACAAGACTTAACCGACAAAATACATGATGGGACTAGTTAATTAGGCTGTGTGGCAACAGAATTTCAAGAACTAGTTGTTTGATTATTTTATGCATTACTTTTGATGCGATTGGCGTGTGTCTGATTGCACATTAGTTGTCATACTGTCGACATCCACTTATCTGTCTCCGTGGAATAACAACGTGCTACCAGACGGCAGAGAGGGTGATGCTGCTCATTGATAGAGTGAAAGTGATCAGAAATATGAGGGAAACGTCAGGACCATCTAGCTTTAAGGCTGCAGAACGTTAGCCGTCTGGGCCTGGGTAGAAGGACAGCTTGAGGGTCTTGATCACGCTAGCAGTGGTGCGCAGGTCAAAGGTAATGCTGGGCAGTGCAGCTTCTGTAGGTCTATGTACGCGGGAGTTGGGTGCCATACTCACATCAGTGAGTGAGTTGAAAGCGTATGTTTAGAATCTTCCGCTTAGTTCACTGTGTTCAGTAACCACTGTTTTATCGGGTAGCACTGGTGACCTGATGGGTGTCACATTACAAGAACCCGTATGCTTTAGTAATTCAGCAGCAATTTTGACGGAGTTAGGCTTAAAGTTGCCGTTCTCTCCTGTGCTGACTTCACCAAAGACTGTTGGTTTCTCTATTGCAGCATGGTTTCATTGCTACGCACAAGAAGCTGGACCTCCTTTGTCTTCTTGTAATTGGATCGAAGTTCTTGAGTTGGACAGATTTTTTCTTTAAAATCGCCGCGGTTGCCTGAGAGCATGGTTTAGGTCCACGTTGCTCTAGTGCCATTATATTGAGGCAGAATGCAACATTGTTGTACAGTTCCTTGGTGGCTACATCACTATCAGTTGTCAGAAAGAAACTATCCCACTTCATGGTTCTTATGAGTTAGGAGAAGCTGGGCCAGTTGATACGCTGGAATGGCCGGTCGGCAGCCACGGGTCTCGCAGGGAAACACCTACCTCTGGTTATATCAAACGATATCACTAGTACCTTATGGTCACTACCTTAGATATTCTCTAGAACACTCGCGAATGCACAGGAGAATCCTGTTGTCCAAAATAATTCAAGAACATTTTCATGTCTTGTGGGTGCACGCACATGCTGAGTCCAGTCGCATGCTGTGACGGTGTCTAATAGAGCCATATATTTTGGAGATGCTGTTAGAGTGTCCCAACTGACGTGCGGCAAATTAAAGTCATCTCTTACTAGTTTGTGAGTAGGCGGTACCTCAGAATCCTGATGGAAGATTTTGGTAACTTCGGTATCAACTTGCTTGTTAGTGTGTGGTGGGTCGCAATGGATGCGAAATGACCCCTGATCTGCTTGTGCAATATGCCTGTTGGAGACTAAATTTGACCAGGTAATTGGTAACTGCTACAAATGCATTCACTACCTGATGCAAACAAGGGAATAATACTTTCTTACTTTATTTTGCCGCGGCTAGATCCTGCGACAGAATGAGTTGGATCCATGAATGTCGCGGGTTGCAGCTGCCCAAGCACGGCCGTCGGCGGCAAGCTCCTCGCAGATACTGAATCAGTGATTCCTCCGGTGACGAGCACCATGCTCGACATGGGGTTCCATGAGATCGACATTCGATTTCACTGCAGTGAGCCACGTTTTCAATTGTCCACTACGGCGAGGACAACAACCCTAGCAAAGCGAGAGTGAAACGGTGGCCCTAGTGAAATCAGTGTCTGGTCTGCAGAGGGCGTGACCAAACCACTGAAGTCTGCGGCGTTAGATGAGCGCTGAAAGCTTCGGAAGACGTAACGGCGCTTACGAATTTCGTCACTGGTGATACGCTCATGCCACTGTGTTTGAAAGATAAGCCTTTGACATCAACAGTCAATGATTTCCAGCTTTCGGGTGTCTTCTGATCGCAGCGACCATGTTCCGCAAACATAAACTAAAATGGCTCAAATGGTTGCGAAGATTAATCGGATTATCGTTTGCAGACTAATATCCGTTCTTCGCCACAATGTGCTTCTCAGTTGTAAGCAGTCCTTTCTAGAGCTGTCAATACGATTCCGGGTTTCTGATGTAGACTGACCATTGGGGAGTATAGTGGAGCCAAGATTCTTGAACTCAGGAACCGATTGGATGAGTTGTCCATGTAGGGAGAGCGACATAGCGAACTGCTTAGCTATCGGTGAGAAGTACTTCTTCTTGCTGATGTTAATGCCGAGGCTGATCCTAGTGGCTGATTGGTCCACCCGAGTTAGCAATGGCTGTAATGTTAGATTGCTACTTCTGTAAGGATTGCGATTTCATCAGCTAATTCTAGATTTGATAGCCAGAAATCAGGGCTAACTTGATCATCACGATAGCCATTAAGGGCACGATGCAGAAATCAGTCGACCGCAAAGTTTAACAGCACTGGAGAAAGTGGGCAATCTTGGCGGACCCTAGTAGCGATAGAACACTCCTTTGTTTCTTCTCCGTGGACACGAACCGGGGCCTTCGTACAATGGTAATATGATCTTGTCAAGTTACCATTTTAACCTGCGCGCCATCGGCAAGTAAGATTCTCCAGATTGCTACACGGGCAACTGAATCAAAGGCAGCTCAAAAATCAATGAAGCACATAAACGTGGGCTGCTGGAACTGGCGGCGGTTTTCGAGTGCTCGACGTAGAGTGAAGAGTTGGTCAGTACGGCCTCTTCCTGGACGAAACCCCTCCTTGATTGTGACGAGTCTGCAGGTTCCTCACGTTAGCAAAATGGGAAAGCAAGATTCGTGTGAAGGTTTTGGCAGCCAAATAGGTTAGGCTAATCCCGCGAGAATTATTGCACACACTACGGTCACCTTTCTTAGTAAATGGCAGTAGTACTGAGCTATTCCACGAAAGATGACATATTTCGATCTCCCAAATCGATGGGAAGGGCCCGCGCAAATGGTCAAAGCGAGCTGCTAGAAAAGATTTGTAGATTTCCACTGGAATCCCATCCGCTCCAGGAGCTTTCTTTGGCTTCAGGCGACGAACGATATCTGCGATTTCTGCGGGCGATGGCGGTGTACAATCCGCATAATATCCTGACTGGAGTAATACTGAAATGGGTGCGGTGGTGTGTAGTGGGAGGTTTAGGAGGTTGCTAAAATACTCTACCCATCCGTAAGGTTTCCTTTCGTATCGGGAATAATTTGGCTTTCCGAATTGCGCAATATCGGCTGTGGTGAATAACGCTTGCCGAAAGCTAAACAAAGGATAAGAAAGAGACGACCGAAATTGTCAAAATTTGATGCAAATTTCATGTTGCCTGCGATAACAGACTAGTAGCGGTTGCGCTCATTCGTTGCTGAGCGAGCTGCCTCACTTCTCAAGAGACGGTAGTCTGTGGAATTCGTGAGATGTGCTGCTCTCGCTTTAGTAGACAAGCGCATAGTGTCTTCAGTGATGCAGTCCATCACAAGCGCACGGGTAGAGCGCAAGGTAGCTAAAATAACGCGTTGAACTGACTATTTTGGCCTAGACCAGCGAGCGTCGACAGATTCATCTTCTACAAGTACGAGGCGTGGTGAACTTGCTGAAAAATCTGCTTCTATTGCTGCCTCAAGGGATCGGCAGCAGTCCATATTTTAAAGTGGGGCCGTGTTGATACGCTTCGGTGGAAGGGTCTTTCGGCGTGTTGTCAAGCGGAGTTTGCATTTGGCACGCAGGAGTATGTAGTCCGAACTATTCTCATTGCCTGTTTCAGCCCATCAGTACGCCCGATAGTCATCGATGGAGGACATCCACAGGGATCGGATTAAGATGTAATCTATCTGGATTGCTGTACGACCATCGTTGGAGTACCACATAAGAAGATGCTTCCAGGGGTGCTGGAAGCGAGTATTGCTTACACACAACTGATTACGATCAACGAAGCTGAGCCAACGGTCTTTATTAGCACAGCGCCCTCCAAGAGCGTATCTCCCTGGTATGGGACGGATTTGATCGTTCCTAGGCCTGGTTCGTGCATTCCAGCAATAATAAGAATGTCGCGTTTTGGAACATAGTTCACCACTGTCTGTAGAGTATCGTAAAATGCGTCGTTGTCTTTCCTCTGAGGGTAGGGTTGGTGAGGAAACAGAGATTTTGGTCAGATTCATCGGGTGACCTTTGGAGCGTACAATAGCTATTCTAGCTGCTACTGGCTTCCATGAAAGGCGAGCGCAGCGTGCCTGGAAACTGAAAGCCATGGCGGCCCATAAAGGGGGAAAGAAAAGGATTTTCAGAAACACAACTAAAACTCCAACTTCTTACTTACAAGTCGCGGTCACAAATTTGTGACACAAGCTAATACCAATGCCATCCGAGGTACGTAATCTAATACCAATGTAAGACGGCGAACGAAGTTTAACACATGAACCAAATTCATGAGGGTTACAGCTTAAATTGAACTCATGAAGCCAAATATTGGCAAATATCATCTAGTTAGCGAAGTTTGGCGCACCCAAATGTAGAGAACGTCGTTAACACTTCATCAGATGTCTTGTTTGTCACCCTAATCTGCCTCTGTAGCAGTCTGGAGATTGTTGGAACCCAAAAGCTATTTCTTGTTTTTCGTACACTTTTATTACTCAGTCATAAAATATTGCTTTTTGTTTTAATGCCGACTCCACGGCCATTATGAACTGCATCCGGATCACCACTTTTCTCCACGGTGAGTTCCGGCACTGACGTACACTCTCGTCGCTTCATTCGTTTTCGTTCGATTGTAGCCTTCCGCGAATACAATCCGTTGTGTCCGTCTTTCTGGTTTTCTGGCATCCCTACCAGCGCGAGAACCCTCTCGGACTAGTATAGACTAGTCCTATTAATTGGTGAACCCGATTCGCACGCGCGAATCTTCAACTTTTTTGATCGTCTTGTTTTTGGTGAGTTCGTTCCGAGTTGTTTTTCTTTCATACTCTCTGGTGGATTGTTTTCCGTCCATTCCATTTTTAAAACCATTCGTGTTATTTATATACTATGTCTGACGCTGATGTAAAACCCGGATCAGGCGGCAGCATGAATTTGCTCACCTTGGCTGTTCCGGATTTTATGGCACACAAGCCCAACGTCTGGTTCGCCATTTTTGAGATAGAGTTAGAAAACAGAGGGATCTCTTCCGACCAAGCTAAATACAACCAACTCGTCCCACGCCTTCCGCAACAGGTGGTGACGTTGGTCGAAGACGTACTGCTTCATCCACCTAAAGACGGTAAATACGAAGCAATGAAGCAGTTGATTCTAAAGGAGTCGCAACCCAGTGCTCGTGCTTGATTGGAGCGACTCTTTCATAGCATTAAGCCAGGCGATCGCAAGCCTTCGGTTTTGCTCCGCGATATTCAACTGATTGCTGGCCCTTCGTACATGAGTGAAGAGGCATTAAAAGAATTGTGGCTCTCACGTTTACCTGATCCTCTTTCTTTAATGCTCGTAGCAAATCCAAATAGATCACTCAAAGATTTGGCCATAACCGCGGACGCAGCCTTTGAGAGCATCTCTAAAACCATTCGTCACATTAGCGGATAAAGACTTGAATGCAAAAGCGCCCGCGCAAGCAGACCCCAGAGACAAAGAGATAGCCGCGCTTCGCCGTGAATTAGCAACCGTGCAGTTAGAAAGACAAGGCTTGCTAAGACCGAACGCTGACCACGAAATTGCCGCCGTTCGTCACGGTGCCTATCAGCCCCGACCCCCACCGTACAGATCCAGGTCATCGCGCAGACGCAGTCCATCACCCCTCGCAGCCGAACCCGAAGTGCTAATTTAATCGATGATTTGTGTTGGTATCATCGCCAGTAGGGTGCTAACGCTCGCCGTTGCCGTTCACCCTGCGCCAAGCGTGGGGTAGTGGCACGGGGAAACTAGTTCGCCGGCACGTGAATGCGGCCCACGCGTCCGGCAGCGACAAAACAAACCGTCTGTTTTACGTCAAGGATAGGCGCTCTCGTCTCACTTTCCTTATCGACACAGGAGCCGAAGTGAGCGTTATCCCTGCCAGCGCGCATGACCAGCATACAAAGCCCACGTACAATTTACGGGCAGCCAACGGCTCGCCGATAGCTTCATACGGTCAGCGCATGATGAACCTAGATTTAAATCTCCGCAGAGACTTTCACTGGGTTTTCACGGTTGCGTCAGCACCTTTTGCAATTATCGGCATCGATTTTCTTCGCCATTTCGGATTGCTTGTCGACGCGGGTCGCAACAGAATTTTAGATGATCATACGAAACTAAGGGTTGATGGTGTCCTTTCAGATGCCCCGATAATCATCCCTGTATTTCGGATCGCAGACGCACCGTCCGACTACTTGAGCCTCCTCTCCGAACACCCGCGACTGGTTCGACCGGCTGCAGAGCTTCCACCAGTCACGACAGAGGTCGCTTACCACATAGTTACGCGCGGTCAACCAGTTAACGCACGACCAAGACGGCTTGCTCCAGACAAACTACGGGCAGCACGAGCCGAATTTGACCACATGCTTCAACTTGGTATCGTCAGACCGTCCAACAGCCCCTGGGCGTCGTCTCTGCACATGGTCCCGAAGAAGATTGTGGGGTACTGGCGTCCTTGCGGCGACTATCGATCCTTGAATACGGTGACCACGCCCGATCGCTATCTGATACCACACATAGTGGATCTCACCGCCAGTCTGGCGGGTAAAAGTATCTTCAGCAAAATCGACTTGGTACGCGCATACAACCAAATTCCGGTAGCCGAGGCGGACATCGCCAAAACTGCCGTGACGACTCCATTTGGTTTGTTCTAGTTTCTGCGTATGCCATTTGGCCTAAATAACGCCGCGCAAACTTTTCAGCGTTTCGTCGACCAAGTTCGTCGCGGCCTAGAATGCGCTTACGCGTATCTTGACGACATTTTAATAGCAAGCTCTTCACGAGAAGAGCACATACGCCACGTACGAACACTTTGATCGTTTATCTCAACACGGGGTGACGATCGACACAGAAAAGTGTTCGTTTGGTGTCGATTCAGTTAATTTCCTGGGCCATCGTATCTCTTCTGCAGGCGTCGTGCCACTGCAAGATAAAATTCAAGCCATTATCGACTACCCCGAGCCTCATTCTTTCAAACAGCTCAGGCGTTTTGATGGGATTGTCAACTTTTACCGCCGATTTATACCCAACTGCGCCTCTCTGATGCAACCCCTCACGGACCTTATCCGAGGGAAACTAAAGACGTCCGAATTTCCTACCGCAGCACGCGCTGCTTCTAAGTCGCTGAAAGAGGCTATCGCCAACATAGCTTCCATAGCGCATCAAGATCCGACCGCCCCACTGTCCCTTAGTACTGACGCCTCGGACGTCGCGGTCGGCGCTGTTTTGCAGCAACGCGTAGCCGACACGTGGCAGCCCTTAGCGTTTTTCTCCAAACGCCTACAACCTACCGAATCTCGCTACAGCACGTTCGGTAGAGAACTACTAGCAGTGTATCTAGCGATACGTCACCTTCGACACATCTTAGGAGGCCGCTCCTTTGCCGTCTTCACCGACCACAAAGCCCTAACTTACGTGCTCGGCTCGACTACCGACCGATACTCTCCTAGAGAGTCGCGCCACCTTGGCTATATCGCTCAGTTTACGACCGATATACGGCATGTCTCAGGTGTGCACAACGCCGTCGCCGATGCACTTTCCCGCACTCAAGCTATTTCCGCTGACGCCGGCACTGCTATCGACTTGGCAGCCATGGCCACAGCATAACTCAACGATCCTGAGGTTGAACTACTACGCAGGTTTCCCTCATTGGATATACGACCCGTTCCGCTGACATCATCAGACGGAACGATACTCTGCGATTTATCTCTGGGCACGCCGCGCCCAGTTGTCCCACGTGAGTTTCGGCAGACCGTGTTCGACGCATTGCAGGGCTTGTCTCACCCAGGCGTTCGTGAATCGGTTAAACTCGTGACCGCACGATTCGTTTAGCGCAACGTTAATCGGGACGTCCGTACTTGGGCAGCTGCTTGCCTTCCGTGTCAACGCGCAAAGGTACACAAGCACACGAGAAGCCCAGTAGGCACTTTTCCGACGCCAGACGCACACTTTCATCACGTGCACGTCGACCTCGTAGGTCCTCTGCCGCCTTCCAAAGGCTCGGTATATCTACTGACCTGCAACGATCGATTTGCTAGATGGCCTGAGGCCGTCCCCATCCCAAATTGCTCTTCGGAAACCGTAGCGAAAGCTTTTCTGGAGCGCTGGGTAGCACAATACGGCTGTCCCGCCATCGTGACCACCGATCGAGGGTCACATTTCTCGTCGACATTTGCCATGTTGCTTAAGGATTTAGGCTGTCGCCACGTCCAGACGACGGCGTATCATCCGGCCGCTAACGGCATGGTGGAGCTTTTTCACCGCCAGTTGAAGGCAGCGCTACGTGCGCACGCAGATCCTTCATGGTCTGAAACGCTTCCTCTCGTTCTTCTAGGCTTAAGAAACACGGTTAAAACCGATTTCGACGCCACACCAGCGCAGCTAGTCTACGGTTGCACGCTGCGGTTGCCCGGACAACTGGTAGCACCAGCCCCATGTACTTCCACTTTTGACTACGGAAGTTACACTGACCGATTGGGTCACCAGATGCGTGAGCTACGTCCACCCGCTCCTCGATCGCAAAAGACACCAGTGTACGTGCCCGAGAAGCTGTCTACGTGTTCACACGTCCTTCTTCGCGCAGACGTTGTTCGACAGCCTCTTCAGTCGCCGTACATAGGACCCTTCAAGGTGCTGCATCGTGCGAGTAAGGCGTACACTATTGCCCGCGGTGGTCGACACGAAGTCGTCACCATCGACCGTCTAAAACCCGCTTTTATGGAAGGGAGCACCTCGCCTACTTCGGCGCCATCTCCATCCTCCCTACACTGGCCCTTTCAGAGTTCTGCAACGGACTCCGAAACATTTTACTATAGACCAGAATGGTCATCGAACAACTGTGTCCATCGACCGACTCAAAGTGGCTTTCTTTGACGAGCCACTTGCAGCCCATCCTGATGCTCTCGCACACGCACCCGCACCTGTGGTGACTTACCGAGCACTGAATAGCCCGCAATCCTCCGTACCCCTTGACCCGCAACCTATCTTGCCGCAACCCAATGCAACCGACCGACGCGGTAGACAGGTCAAACGTCCGGTCCGTTTATCCGATTTTGTAAGCGTTTGCTATTTCCATTAACACGCCCTTTCGTCTTTAATGGTTATCCTGCGTCTCACCCACAAACGTTTTGCAAAATCGACAAAAAACCCCAAAACATTTTGAAAACCTTAAAAAGCGTATTTGCTTTTATCATACATGCCATGTTCCCTATCCGGCGTCATGCCACTTCCCCGACCCTTGCCAACCCCCTCTGAGTTCTACCTTGCAGAAACTCAACCGCCGGAACTGCCCAGGCAACCCTCGAGTGACTCGCCAACCGGCTCAACGCAACCCTGGAGTGACTCGCCAGCCGTCCTCACCCAAGGAACAGACAGTCGCCCTCGATCGCAGACACCCACGAACGAATTGGTCCCCAAACGCCGCTTAGGCATTGCTGACGAGCACGCCGGATTTCTTCGTGGGACGAGGACGCCCGCATTCCTTCGTGGGACGAGCACGCCTGGATTGCTTCGTGGGACGAGGACCGTGGACTAAAGTGCGGCGGGGGGAGTGACACCTCCCAAGCGCACCGTCGGGTCTGCAGCAATGGGAAGGTCCTGTCGGCCTTTTTTCTGGACTAGCCAGTTTTTTTTGCAGTCCGACCAGCCCGCCCCGACGGCCCACCAATGATGCACTCTGGTCCACACGATCGTCATAAATAAAACTAACAAAAGCCTGGACCCAGCGAAATCTGCTACACCGCACTTTGGAAGCCCTTCTCAAACCCCTGCAAACATCCGCATCCACCCTCACCTTCCGTTCCCCCCCCCCCCAACTAACAGCTCCATCGCAGGCTTCCATCCTTCAGCCTTCTAGGGGCAGGCCCTTGTAGTGCAACTGAAAACCTGCTCTTTCCGTATCTTATAACATTGGATTTTATGGTTGTTTTAACCTTCGAAACGTCCATTTGTTTAACTGACTGCACATCCATGGTCACAAACCGTTTTGGTGAGTTTCTCGCTGCACGTTTCTCGCTCTGTCTGATTCGCTTCCTATTCTTGTAGCCTGCACAATACACGTTGGGTTCAGTCTCCTCCGACTTCTATACTGTCGTATTTGACACGTCTTACGTGTCAGTGCTTACCGACTAGTATCCCAGGTTCCGCCCAACAAATTTAGGCCTTCGGCGAACCTTTCGCTGGCCTTTCATAATCGCTGCCGTGCCTTTCGCCATCATAGACATAGACTTTCTTCAGCGCTTCGACCTCATCGTCGACGCTAAAAGGAAGAAGCTTATCGATTCCAGGTCACACCTCAGTATTATCGGGACCAGCGCCAACGTGGCTGCTATCACTCCCATTCGTGTCCTACCTCAAGCTTCACAGCCTTTTCTCGAACTTTTCAGCAAGCACCCTAAACTCGTTCGCGTCCTGAACGACTTGCCTCCTGTGACGTCAAACTTCATGCATTACATTTGCACTAAGGGCCCACCTGTTTCGGCCAGCCCTCGCCGGCTAGCCCCGGACAAGCTCAAAGCTGCTAAGGCGGAATTCGCGCAAATGCTCGAACTGGGAATCATCCGCCCGTCCAAAAGTCCATGGACATCACCACTACACATGGTGTCTAAGAAATCCGGTGACTGGCGCCCCTGTGGTGACTACAGGGCAATTAACAAAGTCACCATCCCGGATAAATACCCTATTCCACGCATGCACGACTTGACCTCAGCTCTATCTGGCAAGTCTATCTTTAGCAAAGTCGACTTAGTTCGCGCCTACCATCATATACCTGTGGCGCCAGACGACATTGCTAAAACCGCAGTCATTACGCCATTCGGCCTATTCGAGTACGTCAGAATGCCTTTCGGCCTCAGCAACGCTGCCCAAACTTTTCAGCGTTTCATTTATGAGTTAACGCAAGGACTCGAAGGCGCTTATCCTTATTTAGATGACATACTCATCGCCAGCTCTTCTGACGAGGAGCATCTTCGTCACCTCGACGCTCGCTTCCAACGCTTAACACAGCATGGGGTTACCGTCAACCCCGATAAAAGCGAGCTTGGCCAAAGTTCCATCGACTTTCTTGGCCACCGCGTATCTGCCTCTGGTATTGAAGTCCTGCCAGATAAAATCCAGGCACTGAAGGACTATCCTGCTCCCAGTTCCTTCAAACAGTTGCGCCGATTCCTTGGCCTGGTCAACTATTATCGACGCTTTATTCCTAACTGCGCGAGCATTGTTCAACCAATGACTGACTTGCTCCGCGGTAAACAACGGTCTTTTCATTTTACAGACGATGCTAGAATGTCTTTTGAGAAGCTCAAAGACGCTATCACCAACATAGCGCTTCTCGCCCATACAGACACGTCTGCACCACTCTCTGACAACTGACGCCTCCGACACTGCCGTCGGTGCAGTTCTTCAACAACTCATCGACCATCGATGGATACCTCTAGGTTACTTCTCTAAACGCTTACAACGTGCCGAAACGCGTTAAAGCACCTTCGGTAGGGAACTGTCAGCTATTTACCTAGGTATCCGACATTTTCGTCACTAGCCCGAAGGTTGACATTTTACAGTCTTCACCGACCACAAGCCATTGATCTACGCAATCAATGGCGCAACGGACAAGTATTCTCCGCGGGAAACTAGACACCTAGACTACGTTTCTCAGTTTACGACAGACGTACGACATGTCTCAGGTGCTCTTAATCCCATCGCGGATGCGCTTTCACGCATTCAGCAGATCAGCTTATCGCCTGGCACCAACGTTGACCTAGCCGCTATGCCTGCTGCCCAACAAGCTGATCCCGACATAAGCAAGCTACGACGTAACACCACCGAGACGATCACCATCGATCGACTCCAGCCAGAATTCTTCGACAAGTCTGACTCTTCGGCGCAACAAGCACCTTCACAGCCTGCGCCATCACAGTTGGCACCTCAAACTCAGACGAGTCAGTCCGCTCCAGCAGAACCGACAACCACAAGCGACAGCGCTTCTACTCGCCCTGCTATCGATCTACGCGGTAGGAAACTCAAGCCTCCAGTTCGTTTTTCGGACTTCGTTAGCACTTACTATTTTACGTAGAACATGCCTTCGAAATTTTTTGCTCTTACCAAACTTTTTTGAAAATCCACAAAAAAAGGCCAAAACGTTTTGAAACTACCAAGAAAGAGCAAAACCTTTTGAAAATCCAAACACAGCTTTGCACGTTTTTCGCTTTGCACTCTTTTGTGTATTGCTATGCATTTATGCTGCTTTTTCATTTTGCTTTCCATATACACCGTCGGTTGGTTGCATCTCAGTTTCACTTTCCGCTGGATCTCCGCACGTTAACTGCAAGTGGAACGAACTTCCTGTTCAACCGCCTACGTGAACTTTACTAACTGTCCCCCACAAACAACTTTTTACCGTTTCGACACCGTAGGGAAGACACGGGTGGGAGCCCGCTAGGGTCCGATTGCATGGTTCTCCCCCAGCAGCTGCATCAGGTTTCACAGCCTGGTCTCGCAGAAGGCTGGCGCGCGACGGACAGTCCTCACGTAGATCGAAGGACTGTTTACAAAGTCCCTTATGGGAGAGGGCTATGTTGCAGTCTGGAGATTCCCCGGTTTGCCTGTGTAAAATTCTAACCAAAATTCTATAATTGTACACCTTGGCAACCGGTGTGGTTTGTTGAACTGCTTGCTGAGTTCGAATGCTTTACTTGCTCATCGCCATTTTTGCTTGGCGCTCGTTTCGGTTGCAACGCGCAACTGCCCTGTGTGCTGTGCTTGATCCGTTCCCCTAGCTAGAGGGTCCACGGTGTCGTTCTTTGATAGCTAGGTAACAGGGAATCTTTTACTGTACCAATAAAAGTTTCCCTGCAACTCGATCCGTCTTCTCTAATCTGTAGCGCCTTGACGAATGCTACACAAGAAAACCGTAGCCCAGTAAGACAGAAGACGGCAAGATATAAAGAATGTCTTGAGAAAATAGCTATGTACAATAGCTATGTAAATATAGCTTGAGGACTGTGGGAGAGAGTGATGAAGCAGTTACACCACGTCGGAGCACAACAGCCGGCAGCGCGCGGGCAAGATGGCGGACCTGGTTCAAAAATGCAGTCCGGTATATATAAGCTTTGGAGGAGTGCAAAGTAAAACAAAATGTGTACAAGTCTGATGGCGATGCTTGATGGAGTAAAGTGTCATTGTCACTACAAATCGCTCTCTGGGCTCCCGGAACAGGCAACCCTCTAAACCTCTCCCATCCGATACAGTACTCCCCTAGCCTTCTCCCATTTTGTGCTCTCCTCTCCGTCTATTTGTGCAATAAGTAGGTTCAGCGGCTACTTACTTTCTTCAGTGACCAAGTTGTTGTTAAGTCATGGCCACAAGTTGTAGAATACCTAGTATCTAGTTCACAGTATCCTGTTTGATGTGTTCTCAACTGTACCCGGTTTCTTTAAATTATCTTACTTTCGATTTTGACTCCGTAAGTACTTTCTTTAAACTTCACGGTCCCATGCCTTTCTTCCATCGCTCGACGACATAGGGTATCGGCCATTACTAAAATTTTCTCTTCCTAATGCAGAGGATGATATCGGCTTTTGTGTGGTGAATGAAGCATGGCTTACCGAAATATAAACAACTCTTATCACTCGTGTATTCATCCTCAACAGACTGAGAGGTCAACATCACAAGTTGGCTGAACTATACAGCCGGTTGGAGTGTCGTAAAAACTTATTTACACTGCCGGCTTGTTTTACATGGAATACTCTCTTAGAAGCTGTTATTTCGACCTTCCAAGTTAGCAGTGTTCATAGCACGTATCGACGGTGCACCTACAGCACTACACCATAGCATGTAACCCAAAGGAACCAAAGCAACAACAGAAACAGAAATATGATTCAACGCACCGCATATTTTGCCTGGAAACCCTAGCCGTTGGCCTTGGATAATACGTACAAACAAGTGTGGACTGCTCAGACGTGGAACACTTTAACCGGCTAGTTAGCAACTTTTGGTGGTTCCCTATTTCCTGTTGTTATTTTTTGCTTTCACTTTGCTCATCCTGCGGGTTATGTCAAACTACAGCTAATTTTCCCGCACTATATCATTGATCACTGAGTCAATACCCTGGCGCCGCAATTGTAGTATGGTTTTTCATTAATTCCCTATTGCTACAAATGTGTTAGCATTTGCTTATGTGCTGAAGAGACGGGAATCCGGCTGCAACTGCAATCTAGTGCTTTTCCGACCATGTGGACGACTATCTAATTTGACGCTGACTGCGACGAGCCCTCAATTATTTATATCAAATCCCCCACTCATGACTACTTCAAAAGTAATTTTTTTGCGAACTAACGCAGTTTTAGCTCTTTGCTCATTTCGATGATCATCCTTCCTGACAGTGGTTGTATTGTATACAGCGAGAATTACCTTAAAGTAAAACAGTAGATCAATAAGTAACCCACGAACATTTGGGGTTTGCTAACACATGCGTGTGTGGGAAGAGTATGCGAATCGAAATGTGCTACTCTCAGTCACAGTAGCTTCACAAAACAGAGATGATTAATTTTTGCTTCTCAAACTGCCAATGGGCCGTGAGCTTCTCAAGAAAAGTTTAACAGTTAACAAATGCTTCATGGTCAAGACCTCGTCATTGGGATTATTGCGCTCAGTTGAATTTTGAGTTTTATAAATTCATATTACATCGTTTTTAACAGTATCAGCTTATGTGACACGATTTAGGTTGTATTTCAACTGCCAGTTTAAAACATAAAAGCACCCATATTCATCATGTACTTTGCTTTTATGGTCACTGCCTCCTAAAGTGTAGAAGTAATGGAGTCAGAGCAAGCGGCATTTTACATCGAATTCCCATTTCAGGAGTAAGAGAAAAGACAAGTAGTTACCAGCATGGAAATACACAAAGGTAGACAGAATAACAGGAAGTATTCAAAAATAAGCGCAATTTCCGCCTCTGTGAACATAGTGTAAATCGCATTATCAAAGGCCCCAAACGTAGTTCTAATTCTCATTTTCGTTATATAGAGCTCTTGGTAAGTTCAAAATCCAGTATATCCTGGTGAAAACGCTTGCCAAGCTCCTCTGATTAAGCTACCACGTTTCCTTTGGATTCTTCGAGTTGAGTATCAAGAAGATGAACTTTGTGGGCACAATTCGCTGAGAGTCTTTATTAGCTGCTCCCAGTTTTCAGTCTTGTGGATATCTGCAACGAAGTTATTCCGAGGGGCTTGCTCTGTTCTATGCAACTTTCTTCCGAATTCAGCGCGATGCATCCTCTTCTTCATCTGTAATCCAACGAGGGTAATTCCCTCGGACGTCTGTGGAATGACAACCGGAAGTTAGTTAAAAGCTGCTAACTTTCTGTCTTTAGTCCCGGTACATGGCGCATTGATGGCATCAGAAACTTTTGAGGGTCTAGTAGTGGTTCTCATCTAACGTTGTGCTTCCACACTGAACCTTCCGTTCGCTGTGGCCAATCGCGCCAGGAATCGTGTGGTTTGTTGTCCCAGCTGTTCCAGTGGCAAAGAAAACAGGGAAACCTGTTGGGCGGAGCCTGGGATACTAGTCGGTAAGCGATGACACGTAAGACGTGCCAAATACGACAGTATAGAAATCGAAGGCAACTGAACCCAGCGTATATTGTGCAGGCTACAAGAATAGGAAGCGAATCAGACGGAGCGAAAAACGTGAAGCGAGGAGCTCACCAAAACGGTTTGTGACCATGGATGTGCAGTCAGTTAAACAAATGGACGTTTCGAAGGTTAACACAACCAAAAAATCCAATGTTACAAGATACGGAAAGAGCATGTTTTCTGTTGCACTACAAGGGCCTGCCCCTAGAAGGCTGAAGGATGGAAGCCTGCGATGGAGCTGTTAGTTGGGGGGGGGAACGGAAGGTGAGGGTGAATGCGAATGTTTGCAGCGGCTTGAGAAGGGCTTCCAGAGTGGGGTGTAGCAGATTTCGCTGGGTCCAGGCTTTTGTTAGTTTTATTTATGACGATCGTTTGGACCAGAGTACATCATCGGTGGGCCGTCGGGGCGGGCTGGTCGGACTGCAAAAAATGTGGTAGGTGAAAAAACAATATGAGCACAAGTAATGAATCACAAAATCACTGGAACGGGCTCACCAGAATGAAAATTCACAATGGCGGACGGAGTGTTCCTGATGGGGGGTCACCAATTGTTGGGCGGATCCTGGGATACTAGTCGGTAAGCGATGACACGTAAGACGTGCCAAATACGACAGTATAGAAGTCGGAGGCAACTGAACCCAGCGTATATTGTGTAGGCTACAAGAATAGGAAGCGAATCAGTCGGAGCGAGAAACGTGCAGCGAGGAACTCACCAAAACGGTTTGTGACCATGGATGTGCAGTCGGTTAAACAAATGGACGTTTCGAAGGTTAAAACAACCATAAAATCCAATGTTACAAGATACTGAAAGCGCATGTTTTCTGTTGCACTACAAACCTTACAAATTTTTTGGTGTCCCATAAAGAATAACACTGTTTTGTAGTCTCCAATGACATCACAGCCATGCGCCAATGCACTCAGCAACGTTTTACTATTGATGTACCCTTTATGAGATAATTAGAATAAGCCATGTAATTAACATGTACTTGTTCGCATCATGAAACAATACAGCATTGAGCCTCCCGCATGAATGGTTCATTTTAAACGACATTCATAAGGGTTCCACGTGCCTATAATGGCATTAAATGTACCGTAACGTTTATACGGAAGCACAGCAATGAAGTTTGGTAAAGCAATTGGAAATGTTTGTAACATCTCCACTGATCGGTGACTAGCACACTTTCATTTAACAGGTTACACACCTTGATCCTAGATATAAGAAGCTCTGCACTAAACTTGGTAAAGATAACGCCTGTACTCAGATTGTGGAGATCTTTTTGATGGTTGAAGTCAGGTTTCATATCCTCAACTGCACTTGCGAAATTGAAATCAAGATCTGCATTATCTTGCTCACTGCTGGACCTTGTGCTCGCTCTAAAAGATGTGTGATGCCTGTCTGGTGGAGTAACGGGGATTAGTGGGGTGATCGGGATAGTGTAGT